GTCCATTGATCGTCTTCAATAAGATCAGGATGGACCCAGAGGATTTCGCCGTTTGGGGCTGTGTGTGGCACAAGTCCTTTTTGGCGTTGTCCATATGGGTCGTCATTCACTATCTTCATTCCTACTTTGGTGATGCGTTCTGGTTCAAACCATGCTGTGGGCACTGATCCAAAGCTAATTGATACTGCATTTGCTCCGACATTCTTGGGCGGCTTCGGGGTTATGACGCCTACATCAATTAACGCCTGGATTTTATCCTTGAGATGGTAGCATGACTTTGTAGGGTGATGGACCACTCTTGGTATGCGCAATATTTTGGATCCGTCACTTTGCTAGCCCCTTCTTGATCCACGATCGACGGTAGCTGGATTTTGTTATTTTCCAACAAGTACTTAAAGATGCCGGGAACTTCGTCATCTTTGAAGGAGTACACTTTAGGAAATCTTGGCTCTGAAGATTTCTGCTTCTGAGGCCGTTGTTGCCATTGCGACTGCGATTGTTGTGGTGCTCGTTGCTGCTGCTGTTGCTGAGGTTGCAATTGGAAAGTTTGATTAGCATCAACTGCATTAGCATGTGCCTTACCTTTCCCTCGTGGGACGAAATTCTGCTGTGGAGCATTCGTCGCCTGTTGGCCTCTTTCCGCCTTCTTCCTTCTGAGGAATCGCTCGGCCTGCTCTCCTCGGACTTTCAAATCCTTCCATGTTTTGGACGGTGCTGTCCCCATTGCTTCCAACACGTCCAATGCGAGGTTGTTGTGGCAAGTCTGGAGAATGAACTCCTCAGTGATCGGGTCCCGACAGTTCATCGCCTTGTTCCGGAACCTTTTGACGAAGGTATCAACCAATTCCCCGTCTTTTTGTTTCTCATCAAGCAACGACCCGATGGATATCTCTCGAAGAAGTTGGTGAGGAATTTAGTCTCCATTTCGTCCCAGCTATTCACACTTCCTGGCTTGAGGCGGCGATACCAATCGAAGGCGGCTCCACGAAGAGTACCAACGAACGACCGTACCATCAGAGGCTCATTACCAGAGATAACCCCTAGGTGTGATTTGAAGTAAATCAAATGCTGAGTGGGTGAAGCCTTCCCATCAAACGGCGTGAAGTTAATTAGATTGAACTTCGCCGGATACGGGATTGTTTCCCATTCTCTTGGGTATGGACAAGGAATGCCCGTCTTCTTCATCTCTTGAGCGGAAATTAACGTATTGATTTTACTCTCGAGGTTTTTAATCTTCAAACTTTCACTTGTGTTTTCGTTAGCATTCTCGTTACCACCCCCTGCATTGATGGGAGGATTATTGGTATTATGAGCTTCATTCGCACCTGTGTCCTCATCTTCCTGATTAACCTGGTTACGACGACTTGGTTCGCCTTGCTGGTTTGTCAGTGCTTGGATTTGTTGGTCATGTATTTCTCTTATATTCTGCATGGCCATCTGCATTTCGAACTTGAAGCTCTCTTGTTGTTTAGCCATGGCTTCTTCGAGCATCTTGGCCACTTGTTTCGCACTTATCATAAGTGACTCGCGGGGTTGTCCATCGCTGGATACTATATTATCTGATGCGACCGCAGAGCAGGCATCCGATTCTTCATCTTCTGAAGGTAATCTTATCCGAATCCTACCATAAGTTGCTCGTATGATGGCTCCAGACTGCAGACGGGTTACACGCCGGGGTGCTTTCTGAATCGACTCGGGATTATCCTGTGTCGATGTCCCTTTGCTGGTCATATTAGTGGTGACCCTAAAAAATTCTCCATCTTCAACTACCGTTCTTCTTTGTCAGAAACGCCTAGGCCTTGGTTTTGGCGTTTTGGTACTAAGCCTTTCGAAAACCGAAATTCTTTCGGGGACAGTCTTGATGCAGTTGCACTCAGATAATACTGCCCGAATGAGTTTGGAACAGGGGCATTGAGTTTCTAGTTCTCGAGGACTCCTTTTCCTGGTTTTACTCGTACTCCCAACACGATAGTACAACTCGTCGGCTTGAAGGTCAGAGTAACCTATCGTGTGTTGGCACGACTTCTCAGGTATAACGTCATCATTATCAGACGACAATGTTTCCTTCTGAGGGCGAACTGCCTTCTTTGGGCTTTCAAGAGTCACGCGCCTTGAAACATGCCTTTGTGGGCGTGAGTTCTCAGCGGGCTCCTAGACTTCAATACGCAAATTGGTGCGCGTAGCTGCCATGAACTCCTTGTCATGTTGAAGGTGGCGGCGACTCCCAGCATGTTGAGTCGTTCGGGGCTTCTTTATCGGGCCAAAACGTTCTTGAACTGGAGCTTTGCATTCCTCATCGGGAAGTGGACCAAGGCACTCCAAAACTGACCTTCTTCTTCGAGATGATTCTGCGGGATCTCCCGGAGTAGCTACTAGAATTACCGGTGATTTAGGTTGGTTCGCCGGAGGTTGAACTTACGTTGAAGGCTGCAATGATTGTTCCTTAGCCTGAATCGCCGCTTCAGACTTCGGCCTTCATACTTGGCGGGTTGGTGGCGGCTTCTTTCCTCCCACTGTGGTCGCCAGATTGTTCGCAGGAAAAATTGTTTTCATTGATGTCATTGTTTTCTTGAGCAACAGTTTATCGGTTACAAAAGATCCGGTCTTTTTATAAGATCCGGTTACAACAAAATCAAAAGAAAATCTTAAAAGATTACAACTTTCCTTTTGTGGAACAAATCACAAGATCCTATTTTGCGGTCTCTTGCTTGTGTGGGTTCTTTGCCTGCGCCGGGGTTAATCCGTGGACCACCACGCGATCTTGATCCGGTCGGATCTACACGGTATGACGGGTGTTATTTCACGAAGGAAATAACAACCGAGGGGATTATTTCACCAAGGAAATAATAGCCCTAAGTAATCAAAATCGACCAAGGGAAATTGATACTCTTCTCGGGATCAAAAAACCAAGTTTTGATCCAGAGGATGACCGTGTGGATCTCAGATCTGATCTCTCTCGAACTCCTACCTTATTTGACGTGGATGATCGCCAAGAACCAAATCTGAAAAGTCCGAGTCTTCAAAGCTCCAAAACTCCGAAGTTTAGCTCTCAATCCAGCAGAGTTTCGCCTCTAAAGTTCAACCAAAAATCCAACCTCGGTTTTGGCCGAGCCCTCCAGGTGTTTGCTTTTTCGCCCATTTTCCGGTTTCGCGGTTTATCCGAACTTCATTGTTGATCTGTATCTAATTTCGCAGTCCGGATCCTGATTTGGCAGTAAATCCGCTTTGGTGTTCGAGTTCGAGTCCGCTCCCGATCTTGTTTGATGTGGTGGACTCTACGGTTGGATGACTCGTTGATTCATCGACCCGTTAGCTTGATTGGGCACGCGATTGGATGTATTTCGTTGTTTGCGTGCGGTTCGTTAACCTCGTCGCCTCATTAATCCGCTTCGTCGTGTGTCACTTGGCTTCGGTATTGTGGTCTAACGATCATGCTTGGATATATCGCCCGATGGTTCGTTGGTTTGTCGAATCACCGTATCGAGCTGTGTTAAGGGACCTATAAGCAGTTTTATACGCCTACATGCACGTACTTAATGAACAATATATCTAAAAAAGCAAAGACGAGTCAAAGAATATGGGGATCTTTCCTTGGGTACGACGTCAACTGTAGCGAAGGTCGTCGGGGTGGTTGCACGGTGTTACGACGGGTTTTGCGGAATCAATGGCTAAAATAACAACTTAGAGTGTTATTGCGACGTGCGATATTCAAATGAATATAATGAGGTGTAGATAAAGAGTCCAAGTGAAAAGAAAATATCGTGTGATAGACAATATAAAGGGCTACACACTGGCGGAGACGGTGACAAAAACGCAGACCGGAGGTGGTCGGAAAACGCGTGCGAAGTCGGCACAGCGCTGCTGTAATCTGCGAACTGCTTGCTGTAAAGCGATGTTTCGGACGTTACCAATAGAGATAGAGAATTAGTTAGAGCATGATACAAATCGAAAGTGATAGACAACATGTAGGGCTACTCACCAGAGAAGAAATCGGTGAAAACGGAGATTGGAGGTGATCGGAAAGTGTATACAAAGTCGGCCAAAAAAACAAGAAATTGATTTTCTTATTTTTTTTTGTGACAACTCATCTCATCTCATTAAACCTTACTTTCCATCCATTTCCTAAAAAAAAAAGAAATTGATTTTCTTAAGTATGTGTCACATCATCCAATAATATACCTCCAACTTATCTCATCTCATCTATTTTCTTATTTTTAAAAATGAACCAAACACAAACAACCTCAAAACATCATCCAATAATATACCTCCAATTCATTTCCTTATTTTTTTAACCAACCAAACAACATCAAAACAATTTTTTTAAAAAAATCACTCACATCATCCAATAATAAGGTGACAACTCATCTCATCTCATCTCCTATTTTATAATTTCCTTCTTTTTTAAACCAACCAAACAACCTCAAAACAATTGTATGCCCAGCCGGAATGTCCTTCCGATAGAGTAGAAGAACAAACTGAAGCCTAGACTTGTTTTTCTTTCTGTAGCAGTTGGTAGAACACTTTACAGTATTTCTCTTTAGTTGGTGATAGATTTGGTTATTTTGTTAGTATTTTTTTTATTATGGACTATGTATTTCTTATTTTCTAGTTGGACTGTTTTGTAATAAGGTCATGTTGGACCCATATTTTATGTCGGGGATGATCCACCATAGATGATATGTTTATTTCTTATTCTGGATTGTCTTTATATTCTTGTTATTGTGATCGGGGACCTGTGATTGAGATTTATGCATTTGACGCTTAGCGTATTGGATTAAGAAGAAAAAAAAGAAAAAAAATGATAGCGTACATTTCTTCTCAATCTAATACGTTGCGGGCTTGTTCACGTTCCGATTCCTAGGTATTTTGGGAAGCGGGACGTGACAGGTTTTTTTGGTGGCCCATGACAAGTTTCCTATTCTTTGATTTCCCCTTTTTTTTTTTCGAAACGAACAGCCCCTTAACAGACGAAACAGAGGAGAAGGAGAAAATATGATCACTTAAAGGTAACACACGAGAAAATCGATTATTGCTTCATAACTCAAGCCGACACTCATGCTTCACACAGCAACAACAACAACAACAACTAACAAAAAGCCTTCAGAAACAAAACAAAATATAAGCTCACGGTCCAATAGCCCCTGATTTGAAAGAATAACAAGAAGTTATTACTTTCAAACAGTTGTGTAGCAAGCATTTAGAGCTTTCAAAGAGGCCCTGATTTGATAGCATAATCCAAATCCGCTATGAGATCTTCCACATCCTCGATACCAACAGAGATGCGAATCAGATCTTCGGTCAGTCCCCGAGCCTCGCGGATTGGAGCAGGGATGGTTGCATGGGACATGAAGCATGGCAAGCTTATAAGTGACTTAACACTCCCTGCAAACAGGTAAAACTGTTAAAAGATATGTACATGAAAATAATTAGCCTTGAAAAAGGAAGGCACAGTTTGTTTTCAGCTGTGCTAGTCTGAAGCTACACAAGTTAATTAATTCGTTTTGAATATTTCCCCACAATGTTATGATTTACTATGAATATGAACGGGTATAAGCTGCTTCGAAAATCAATAATCCAACTCAGCAGGTTCTTGGCATTAAGTTGGTGTTAACGCCAAGATTCTTTGGGTTGAGAACTGTAGAAGGCTTTCTGAACCTGAACCTGCCCATTTGCAACTCTGGTTTGTACAATTGTAGGTCGACTACAGTTAGTATTTAATACTTCACGTGCTCAATGCTGAAATGTACATATCCAGCTTCCGCAGGACCGCAGTGACCATCTCAAGTGCTTTCTCCCATCTAACTTTATGAAATAAGTTCTAAGATAATAATCTCAGAATTATTCAATTGAAATTGAGGAATATTACTATGGTTATGGGCCATGAGGTGATGAATGCGTATTGTTAAAAACCTGCACCGTGCATAGTCCACAAGTACAACTAGAAAAACGACAGAGGTAATAGCTATCAAAAAAAAAAAAAAAAAAAAAAAAAAAAGTTCTAAGATAATAATCTCAGAATTATTCAATTGAAATTGAGGAATATTACTATGGTTATGGGCCATGAGGTGATGAATGCGTATTGTTAAAAACCTGCACCGTGCATAGTCCACAAGTACAACTAGAAAAACGACAGAGGTAATAGCTATCAAAAAAAAAAAAAAAAAAAAAAAAAAAAAAAAAACAAAATATGAGAGTCACAAATTAAAAACCCCGGCCCGTAAGGTGTTTATTTTAATAACTAGCAAGTAGCGAATGGCCAAATTCCTTAAGCAAACGTTACAGCGTTAAAATCATAATGATCTTGTATCATTTGATGTAAAGAAAGAAAAAGAGGAGAAAGTAAACTTACCAAAGCTAACAGTTGTACTAAAGTATTTTACGGTATTGGCAATGTGCTTCGATAGAGCTACTGATCCAGTCAAAAAGCTCAAAACAGAACCTGCACCTTTTGCCTGCAAAAAAGGAACAGGAAAAAAGCTTAGCCTCATTCACAGTTCACATTACTGGTATTAGTTTCAAAATTGTACCTGAGAATAATGCAGCGTGTGACCCGGGTGATCAAGAAGTCCTACATAGTAAACTCGCTTCACCCTTGGGTGAGATGATAAGAATTCGGCAACCTTTTGTGCATTAGCCTGTCGGGAAAGTAAACCAAGAAGAACAATTCCAATTATTTTAAACACTTTCAAAAAATAGGATACTGAATTACAGGATACAGTCCCAAAATGAGAAGCTATATTTAACTGATTCAATTGCTAAAGAGACGACTAAGACCATTGAATAACTTTTCCTCTATAAATAATTTAGAAAACCCTCGATGAAAATAATCATAACGAAAGAAAGCTTCTTGCCTGATATTTATCATTGTATTTGAACTATATTCCACAAGATTTACAAAGAGAGGTTTTATAAGATTCTTTTGGTTACTTGACAAAAGTTGGTGACAAAAGTTGAAGGAAAAGATTAAAAACCTAGTCGTGTTCGATCTAATGTACAAGTCAAGAAGAAAATAAAGATAGTAGCCAAGGTTTTCACTTTCAGTTATTGTTACTTATATTATGACGCTAACAAGTTTCCATGTTAATAAAAGTCTCCCCTGGTGGGCTTTCAAACTCAAGTATGCATGTACATGACCTAAAGGTCTGACCTTTTTTTTGTGTGTGCGCGTGTGTGCGCGCTGCACTTGTTTCACAGTGAGATTAATATGATAGTTAAATCGTCCAGATAAGATGAGTCATTATTTATTCTAATCCAGCATGTCTCGTCCAGAAAAACAAATGACCATACCCAAGCATCCTAATTGACTTGAACAGCTTATTAAATGTGCAGATAAATCCTAAAACTAAAAGACTTGTAAAGGCAACTCTTTCCAATAAAAATAACAAGAATGACTTGGAACAGTTCCAATAACAATCTTGCAGAATCTCTAATGAACCCAAATTTAATTGGGAAAGTCAAACTTTATAGGATCAAGATAAGGGCTGCCAGATAATTGAGTCGAAGCACCTAACTTACAGTCTAGTACCAACAAATCTTAAATTTCTTCACAACGACATGCTCTATAATCAAAAGTTTAGGAAATAATTTTATGTTGTTTATCATTATGAAATTAATATAATGATTTAAAGATGGAAAAATAATACAAATAACAGGTAGAAATTCATGGGCTTGTTTCTTTCAAACACCAAATATTTCATTATGCAAAAAATAACAATAATCATGCGATTGCTGTATCACTTGAGATACGAGCTGTCAGAAATCAAGATTATGGTGCACCTGTTGCTTCTCCACACGCAAAGACATAGTCTTGAGACCGCGCAAGCAAAGCCAGCAGTCAAATGGTGCTAATCCATTGCCTTCCGCAGTTTGTAAAAATGCAATTGTTTTTGCTAAGCTGATAGAATGTCAAGTAGCAAACGGTTTAGACATTGTTACCCTAAAAAAATAATATTTACAAGTTTACTTAAAAAACTAGAGGGAAACGATACATGTGACGTTTATTACAATATATATATTAATAATATACTAATATTTTAATGATACTATATAATATTATATATAATTTATTATTTTAATAATATTATGTAATATATGACACTAACAAATTGTCATATTAAAATAATTAAATATATCATTATAAAAAATAATATGTAATATATTACACTAACAAATTGACATATTAAAATAATGTAATATATTATTATTCAAAAAATAATATGTAATAATTATAATATAATATATTATATTAATGTGCAATAATACTTTTAAGACATTGTACTATCAATATTAATAATAATTTAGTAATCTAAAGTAAATATATTTTAACATTTTATTTAATGTATTTAAAGATGTTAACCTTTCCCCTTTCACGGCGAGGACGCCTGCCATGAGATCGCTGTGCCCAGATACGAATTTGGTAGCTGATTCCATAACAATATCTACAAATTAAGGAAAACCAGGAAACAAACTTGAGACTGTGTATAAGATGCCTAACTATGTAGGAGCTAGGGTCAGCACTTCAGCAATAAACAAGTTCACGATAACGACGAGAAGATTAATTGACATAAATTTAGAATATATCCGTACCTGCTCCTAGCTCTAGAGGCCGACATAGTACTGGGGACATGATGCTGTTATCGACCATGACAAGAACTCCTTGTGAATGAGCAATCTCGGCGATTTTCTGAAAATAGTGCAACAGCCAGAGCCACATAAAACATACTTATCCCTTGGGGAGGGTTAATGCAAATAAAACAAGAGGAGTGCTACAGGCACATCCTCTCAAGCACATCCCCAACCACATCCTCTCTATCTACAGTGCAGTGGGTCCCATCAAGTGTGGGACCCACTACACTGTAGATAGAGAGGATGTGGTTGGGGATGTGCTTGAGAGGATGTGCCTCTAGCATTTTTTATAAAACAATCCCTCCTGTCACATGCGCTAGGGTCTGTTTAGTCAGCGTCATGGAGATATTAAGTGTAGGGCCCAAACCTCTTCCATCATTTTTAACTCACGTACGACCCCTAATTTTTTCTAAGCATCGCATTTTGAACGTCTGAGATTTAGTACATTTGATTTGATAATTATAATATAAACAATAAATTACTGTAGTATAAACAGTGAATTTACCGTTAGAAACCATATCTACTGCTCTAAAAGAATACTACCGTTCGTGACATGGTAAATTACTGTAGTATAAACGGTGAATTAACTCCTCTACCCTCCTCCTAAGTATAAAGGCGTAGAAACAGCCCAAATATCTTTAATTTGGGCCCGCTGCACTATTAGCACTATTTATCCTTTTTCCTTTGTTCCAACCGGGTGCACCGTTTCATGAGCTGGCTGCAAACCAGACGACCGCTAAGGAGCATGATCAGCATTAACGACAGTCATTTCTTTTTCTTACCCTTAAGTCAGTGATTTGAATGCTCGGATTGGTTGGACTTTCCAACCATACAAGCCTTGTCATAGGCCCGATTGCAGATGCCACCTCCCTCAGATCACACGTATTCACCTGTCTGTTAGAATTAGAATTAATTAATTAATTAATTAATTTGAAGATATTAGCGGTTTTTCTTATATCAATGAGTGAGAGGGGAAAAAAAAAGAAAAGAAAAAAAGAAAAAGAAAAGGACGTGCGTTAGACTCACTTCACCACAATTCCTCTCTGCTTGGCCAGTTGGAGCAATCGGTAAGAACCGCCATAAATATCGTCTCCGACCACAATTTCTTGACCTATAAATAGCAAACATTGATTTGTCAGTAGATGTGCGGTAAAATTAATGAACTGGGGTTTTTTTTAGATTTTAGCCCCTTGTATCTTCAGTAATTGCATATTTATCCCTCAAATCTTAGAAATTATGTATTAGTCCCTCAAACCCTGTAGGGTCCCTCAAATTCTATTAGGTCTTGCAAAAAAAATGGTACTTCAAGCTAGTCAAATCACGATATTTTGAGAGAATATTATGTCAAATCCAATGATTGTGCGTAAAGTGATTGTTTCACCCCTCCACTATGTTATCAAACTAATTTCTTAAAGGTTCAAACCGAATACCCGCTTAAATAAATAAATAAATAAAATCTAAATCTACTTGATTTCTTCTTCTCCAATGGCTAGAAATTAAAGAGCCCTAACTGACAGATGAGCTCCACAAAAGTTTGAAAACGTTAAAGGGAGGGGTAGTTTGGTAAATATTGCAGATGCTGAGTTAGGAGTTAATCCTAGGAATTTTAACATGAGTATACTAACGGAGGGACCATGTCGCAAGACCCTATAGGATTTGAGGGATTACTATGCAATTTCTAGGGCCTAATACGCAACGATTGACGGTTTCAGGGACAAATACCTTAAAAAACCTAAAAACTGTGGCGCGCTTAAAAAAAGCTCACCAGGCTCGACGAGTTTTGTGACGGTAGTCAAGGCAGACATCCCGCTAGTGAAGCAAAACGCAGAGTCGGCCTTCTCGAGCTTAGCCATGAGACTGGTTATGGGAACACAAACAAACTATTATTAATATTAGTTGGAAACAGAAAACTTCAAGTAGATCCCTGCAGCAGTCATCCATATATATATATATATACTCTTGTTGGAGAATCTATACGGAACAGAACCAACAGTAGTACCGACCTTTGCAACACATCTCGTGTAGGATTGCCACCTCTTGTGTAGGCATAAAGTCCATACTCCGTAGCTGATACCTGTTGGAGAAAAGGTAGTGAGTTTTTCTATCTTTAATTTTTTTTTTTCAAATAAATTTGTTCTTGACCCTCGGCTCCTTCGCTAAAAAAACAAATAAAAAAAAAGACTCTGGGACGGATTGTGGTACCTGGTTAAATGTGGAAGTTTGATACAGCGGGGTACTGAGAGCTCCGTAGGGATCAAAGGAGTTCCCGATATTAGTCAACATCGTCGCTATGCTCGGCTCCCTCCTCTTCAGTTCTGCTTCTTTAATTAACATCGCCAAAATTAATCAATAAGGGAGATCAAATTAATTGAAAACTAATGATCGATCACCAAAAACCTAAAAAGAAGTAAAAAAAAAAAAAACACTGGCAACCTAGTTGAGGAGGAGGAGGAGGAGGAGAGTCATCCAAGCAATCCGCCAGGGTCTCGGCCAACGGCGAGGTGCTGAGATCCCTGTCCATGCTAGCAGACTGCAATTCAAGTCAGATCTAGCTAGCGGCTTTGAGGAGTTGAGCGTAATGTGGAGGGGAGGCAGGGGTGGGTTCTTATAGACCGGTGACTTTGACCCCCCATACAACTTTTGAATAGTTTTTCTAGGAGAGCATGCATATTATTTTAATGTGGTAAGACTGTTGGTCGTAGAAATTCAGCTGCGTGTTTTTCATGATGATGACCGCATTCAAATATGGCATCTACTACTGTTTGTGTGTCGCCCG